AGATCGCACAATGGAGTAATGAAAATTTGCAGAACATTTACTCACTCTCGGGCCATCCGAGATGTAAAAGAGTTTCTTCATCAGAACAGATTTGGAGAAATGTAGCATTTCATCACTTACTCAGCAGTGGATGCTCTGCAGTGAATGGGTGCCGTGAGAATGAGAGTCCAAACAGCTGATAAAAACATCACAATAATCCACAAGTAATCCACACCACTCCAGTCCATCAGTTAATGTCTTGTGAAGCGAAAAGCTGCGTGTTTGTAAGAAACAAAATCCATCATAAAGACATTTTAAATGTCCATAATCCATAATAATAACGCTTCCTCCAGTGAAAAAGTCCATCCCCTATTGTCCTCTCACATCAAAACCCACCCACATATTTGCTTTTGAACTGTTTTGGCTTATAAAAGGTGCTTGATCGGTGCATATTTCTCTCCCGATTCAGATAAGACGACTTTTCACTGGAGAAAGCAAATTTATTGATAAAGGACTCATATTTTAGCCAGAAGCAACAGTTTAAGCGCCATAATGTAGGATTTGTTTCTTACAAACACGCAGCTTTTCACTTCAGAAGACGTTAACTGATGGACTGGAGTGGTGTGGATTACTTGCGGATTATTGTGATGTTTTTATCAGCTGTTTGGACTCTCATTCTGACGGCACCCATTCACTGCAGAGGATCCATTGGTGGGCAAGTGATGTAATGCTACATTTCTCCAAATCTGTTGTGAAGAAGAAACAAACTCATCTACATCTTGGATGGCATGAGGGTGAGTAAATTTTCAGCAAATTTTCATTTTTGGGTGAACTATTCCTTTAAAACATTCAGCTATCCTCTGAAAGAATGTGCTTCCGTGACTGTGACGGGACGAGTGGTTTTTTTGCAAAGTGCTCTGTAAATATTTCGTTGTTCTGGTTTTCTGGGAAACAGCGGGTCACCCACAGAGCTGCTCTGGTAGCCGCAGGCAGGGAGAGCTAGCGCTCGAGTGTGTCTTCAATCAAACATGAGCTTGATTACACTGGCGTTTCTCAAAAGGACAAACATGAATGGGGTCAGAGCCACCGACGGGGTCCCGAGGAAGATGCTGGGATTGGAGACACATGCTCTCGTCCAATATGTGTGCGTGTGTTGGGGGTTTATGTCCGTGTTTAAAAACAGCAGTTAGGAAATAAACAAGACAATGCTAGACTTTTACATTTTCTGAAGACATGTGAGAAAAGTATTAACAGACTTCTCGTTAACCACTTCATCATCTGCATGTTTAAGGGAATTTAAGAGGTTTTTAAGACAGCAAATTACAAAAAAAAAAGGAATTTAAAACTTTTTTAAAATCAAAGATGAATAATATATATATATATAAAATGGCTTATCTAACAAGAAAACTAAATGTAAACTTTATTTTATTTTTAAAAATTTTTATAAAAAAATGAATGCATGGATGCATCGTTGACAATAAGGACAGTAACATGCATTAAGAAAATAAATTGGGTCAATTCTGATTTCAAGCCAACTTAAAAGGTTTTTATTTTCCCAGATGAACCATCATTTGGATCAAATAGCAATCGTTTTATAGTATGTTAAATGTTTCATGCACAAACTAAATAAGTCATGGCAAAACTACATTCTTATCATTTTTAAAAGTGAATTTAATAAATACATAACATAAACCCTGCAACATGATTTAAAATATCAATCAGAGTGGTGTGAGGGGATTTCCACACTGAAGTTTTACTTAAGTACATTTTAGTTCGTGTAATAGCAATACTGATGCTTGCTTTAGCAACTCCACAAATAAAACTAAAGCGTTCATGCTTTAAACCTTACATAAAAACATTTATTTTTACTAAATCGTTTCTAAGACTAAACCATTTTTATGTGAGAGAAAAGAAAAAGAATCCTGTCATGCATGTGTAAATGAGCTCTTAAGCCCTCAGCTATTATCCAAACACTGCAAGAAAAGCAAAACCCACAGTAGTCATTCTTAAGGATGTCATAATAAACAAGACAATGCTAGACTTTTACATTTTCTGAAGACATGTGAGAAAAGTATTAACAGACTTCTCGTTAACCACTTCATCATCTGCATGTTTAAGGGAATTTAAGAGGTTTTTAAGACAGCAAATTACAAAAAAAAAAGGAATTTAAAACTTTTTTAAAATCAAAGATGAATAAAAATACTTTATTATCACTAAAAAGTCAATAAAAAATCATTCAAAAGTCATTAAAATCATTGAATAGTAAGTTTTTAACAGGGAAAAACTACATTGTGATTGAATCATTTGAGGGTTGAAAAAATCTGGACATACTGATCTAGACATATTAATGATTTTTAATGGCTTTCTGTTCTTGTTTGTTTAAATTTAGTTCGTGTAATAGCAATACTGATGCTTGCTTTAGCAACTCCACAAATAAAACTAAAGCGTTCATGCTTTAAACCTTACATAAAAACATTTATTTTTACTAAATCGTTTCTAAGACTAAACCATTTTTATGTGTGAGAAAAGAAAAAGAATCCTGTCATGCATGTGTAAATGAGCTCTTAAGCCCTCAGCTATTATCCAAACACTGCAAGAAAAGCAAAACCCACAGTAGTCATTCTTAAGGATGTCATAATCTGCATTGCTGGAAGAGAAAGCGAATTCACACAAAAAACGCAGATTCTCTTCATCCTCTTGATGCACCCTGCGGTTTTCTCTGCGTCTGGGTGCCAGACCAAACATTTAGCCCCAGTCTTTTTTCCAACCGTCTCATTTCATCAATAGATATATGTGGAAAGAGCCAAACAACAAGAGCTCAGCTGTATTAGCAGGATGAGCAACAGGATCTGGGACAGCTGATCTACAGAAGACCATAGATGATAGATCTCTGCTTCAGTGTTGGGATTTTTCAACCCTTTTTACACCCATAAGGCAAAAAAAAAAACACACACATTTGAATGCTTATAAATCTAACAGCGCATCTATTGGACAAATGGTCAGATGTTTAATACTTAGGGATAAAAAGGGATGAGGGAGGAAAGAAAGGAGAATGTGTCACAGAAATAACTGAGATGAATTTTAGGACACAATATGTGGCATCAAGAGAGCAAATGACCCATTGGGATTTTTCAACCCTTTTTACACCCATAAGGCAAAAAAAAAAACACACACATTTGAATGCTTATAAATCTAACAGCGCATCTATTGGACAAATGGTCAGATGTTTAATACTTAGGGATAAAAAGGGATGAGGGAGGAAAGAAAGGAGAATGTGTCACCGAAATAACTGAGATGAATTTTAGGACACAATATGTGGCATCAAGAGAGCAAATGACCCAATAAAGCAGAGAACATACTTACGAGGCCGAAATTAAGACGAGGACAAAAGGTTGAGTAGATGACAGATGGAGAAGACAAATGGAGTACACAGAGATACACGCTTATCTTGGAAAACAAGATTTTCTTTTGCTCTTTCGAAATGAAAAAGCTCAATCTGTTCTGATGCATCTCAACCGGTTTTGCTTCAGGGCACAAGAAGCATCACAATAGAGCAGCAAAACTGATTATTGTATAAAAGTAAACAAAATGTCCAAAATATAATTGAGTTGCAATGCTTTACTGATAACCATGAGATGCCCAAGCCCAACATTATGCGAAATACTAACATGAAAGAGGCTAAATAGGAAAGAGTTTATACTCATTTTGATGGTTTATGCTCAATACTGTCAATAATTAAGTCAAGAAATTCATACTTTCATTCAGCAAGGATGCATTAAATTGATTACTTAAAACTTCTATTTCAAATGAATGCTGTTTTTAAACTTTCTATTCATTAAAAAAAATCCTGAACAAATGTATCACGGTTTCCACAAAAATATGAAACTGTTTTCAACATTGATAATAATCAGAAATGTTTCTTAAGCAGCAAATCAGAATATTAGAATGATTTCTGAAGGATCATGTGACACTGAAGACTGGAGGAATGATGCTGGAAATTCAGCTTTGATCACAGCGAGATGAATTTTAGGACACAATATGTGGCATCAAGAGAGCAAATGACCCAATAAAGCAGAGAACATACTTACGAGGCCGAAATTAAGACGAGGACAAAAGGTTGAGTAGATGACAGATGGAGAAGACAAATGGAGTACACAGAGATACACGCTTATCTTGGAAAACAAGATTTTCTTTTGCTCTTTCGAAATGAAAAAGCTCAATCTGTTCTGATGCATCTCAACCGGTTTTGCTTCAGGGCACAAGAAGCATCACAATAGAGCAGCAAAACTGATTATTGTATAAAAGTAAACAAAATGTCCAAAATATAATTGAGTTGCAATGCTTTACTGATAACCATGAGATGCCCAAGCCCAACATTATGCGAAATACTAACATGAAAGAGGCTAAATAGGAAAGAGTTTATACTCATTTTGATGGTTTATGCTCAATACTGTCAATAATTAAGTCAAGAAATTCATACTTTCATTCAGCAAGGATGCATTAAATTGATTACTTAAAACTTCTATTTCAAATAAATGCTGTTTTTAAACTTTCTATTCATTAAAAAAAATCCTGAACAAATGTATCATGGTTTCCACAAAAATATGAAACTGTTTTCAACATTGATAATAATCAGAAATGTTTCTTAAGCAGCAAATCAGAATATTAGAATGATTTCTGAAGGATCATGTGACACTGAAGACTGGAGGAATGATGCTGGAAATTCAGCTTTGATCACAGGAATAAATTACATTTTGAAATATATTCAAATAGAAAACTTCAGTGACATTATAAGAGGACTTCAGGAACAAACAATTTCTTGTGGTGGTTTAACAGATGTCTATGTGACTTAACTATTTTGCGGTCGTAGAACTCTCCGCTGCTGTACGTGGTGGCGAGGGTGGAGGAACAGACCTCCAGGTACCAGGGCTTGTTGCCGTTTTCAGTGCTGCTGCTGACGGAGATGGTGTAGATGCTGTTGGTGTAGCCGTCGCAGGAGCAGTGATCGCTCTGCCGGCCCCCGTTACCAGACGCCCAAACAAAGATGGAGCCGAGACCCTTACGGCCCTGCAGACATACATGAAGGAAATGCTGAGTTATGCAAATATGAATGAAAACATGCAATTGTCTATACAGTGTTAATTTAGTATTTTTTATTTACTATTAATATTTTGAATTAGCTTGTATTTTTCTATTTCCAGTTTTCATTTTAATTTCAAATTAAATTTTTATGTTTTTGCAATTTTGTTAATGTGCTTTTGTAATTTTTGTTATTATTGTTTTTAAATGTTATTAATTTTGTTTTTAATATTTCTATTTAGATTTTTTTTAGTTTTAGTAATTTTAGCACTTCCATTTTTTATCTAAATTTTAAATTTTTTCGTTGAATTTTTTTAACGAAAATTTTTTTTTTTTCCAATTACTGAAAATAACAAGACAACACTGCCTCTAGCAGACAGATCACTTTCACAAAATAAAAAAAAAAGACAAATAACTACTAAATATTCCGACAAAACTTGCAATTATTTTTACTAAATTAATTTTCTAAATATTTAAGCCACTAGATTTAGGAAAAATAGACATTAAAACATGGTTAGATTACATTTTAAAGCATTTTATGTTGAATTTCATTCACATTTCACTGTTACAGTGATAAAAAAAATGACTCATATCAGACTTATCATACAGCCCGGACCTAGACAAAACCATCATAACATACTAGTCCAGATCAGCTTAAGACAGCATCTTTGAACTTCCCTTCAAATGTTATGGTTTCAATTTAGTCTTAAATTTAACAACCCTGACAATGACAGTTACTCAATGAAAAATTCCCGTTTGTGCGAGTTTGAGACAGCAACCTTTTTAATTCCCAGTTCAAAGGCTTGTTTGGCCAGAGGCCCCGGCCCGTCCACGGTCTTCCCGTCATCATCGGGGCCCCAGCTGGCACTGTAAATGTCGATGTAGTCTGGCCTTATTCCCAGAGACTTGGCCTCCACCACATCAGTCACGTCTCCATCAAGCATTCTGACACCTTCGAGAAAAAGTTCATCCAAAAAAAACGCACAAATACAGTCATTGTATAATCAACCCAATGTCGTTCCAAACCTGTATTATTTTCTTTTCTCTGTGAAACTCAAATTGAGATGCTAGGAATAATGTCCAAGCTTGCATGCCACATAAACAGATGGTGATTTATACTGCCAAGATACAAAATGCACCAGGAAAGTGTCATAAAAGTGGTCTCTTGGACTTGTGCACTATATTTGTCATTGAGCCATATGAAAGTTTTGTATGAGCTGAATTCCCGGATTGACTTCCTACAAAGATAAATGCTATTCAGGTTTTCAAAACATGCCATTCTGTGGGCAAAATGCAAGAACCATCGGTGTTTGGGATCAGTGACTAAAAGTGCCATTTTTTTATGTGTGCAACGGAGCAAATGGAGACTGACACACAAAGCCACACAGAATCATATGCCATATGCTCATTAACGCACACAAAAATTGCAATTAAAATCTATTGTACTAATCTATTGTATTGTATGTTTCCATACGCCATGACAATCTGCTGTCTTTCTCCTTGTCATTGAGCCATATGAAAGTTTTGTATGAGCTGAATTCCCGGATTGACTTCCTACAAAGATAAATGCTATTCAGGTTTTCAAAACATGCCATTCTGTGGGCAAAATGCAAGAACCATCGGTGTTTGGGATCAGTGACTAAAAGTGCCATTTTTTTATGTGTGCAACGGAGCAAATGGAGACTGACACACAAAGCCACACAGAATCATATGCCATATGCTCATTAACGCACACAAAAATTGCAATTAAAATCTATTGTACTCTGCTGCAATGAGATGTTTCCATACGCCATGACAATCTGCTGTCTTTCTCCTCATTCCATTACTGAACTACAGCTTCATTCCCTCTTCTTGCTCTTCATTCTCTCTTCAGAGAATAGGTGGCACTAAAACTCGAGTATGCAAGTCATTAAGCTGAAAATGTTATCCAAAGCATGTTACAGTAAACTTTCTTCTTACATTTGTAGGATTTACTTTGAAAAAAAATTCACTCAGAAATTGCTAATACATTTCTCAAATAATTACAAAGAATGGTAAGTAACTATCTAAGCTCATTTCCGCCATGGGATAAAAAAAAATAAAAAAGGCTAATTGTGACTTTTTACTTTTACTTTTATCTAACAATTCAGACTACTTTTCTTGCAATTCTAAGAAAAAAACCAACAACTGCGAGATATAAATGAAGAATTGGGAGACGTTAACTGTGAGGTTATAACTAGCAATTTTGAGAAATAAACTCACAATTCTAAGAATTGTCAAATTACCTTTTTATATTTCTTATTTTGTGGCTGAAACAGAAACAAAAAAAGACATACTCACAATTCTGAGGAAAAAAGTCAGAATTGCAAAATGTAAACTCAGAGTTGCGAGAAAGAAAGTCAGAATTCTGAGTTTATATCTTGCAATTCTGACTTTTTTTCTTGGGAATTGTGAGATACAAAGTTGCAATTACCTTTTTATTTTTTTATTTCGTGGCAGAAACTGGCTTCCATAAGTCACACATTGAATTAAATGTGAAATATTTAAGTAGAAAGCCTGAAATGTCTATGGTAACATTAAACCGTAAAATGACAGCAAAAATCATGATTTACAGATACAGGTTTTCACAAAAACTAAAAGTTTTATTAAATGATAAAATTTCACATTTCAGCCTTTAAACCATTTTTGAGAAAAGGGATCAAAATTACTACATTACTTAAAACTATTTTTATCAAACTATTATTATATTAATTTAATAACATATATCTTAGTGTCTTCTTTGTTTCGATTTTTATAATGCATTAGCTTCTTTTCAATCCACCGGTTCACATTTACAACTGCATGTATGCTGCATAAAAATATGGGTTGATTTTCACACTGGTCTGAACAAAAATGTGGTTTCCATGACTGCAATTTGCTGTGTTTTCCACAAACTGGCAACCCAGTGTGCCAAAATCCTATGGGTAAACTGGCAGTGGGCGGAGTCACACAAACAAAATCAAACACAGATATTCAGACACAGAAAACACATTTCAAAGTAAAATAACTGGCTGTAGCATCGTTTTTCAGTGAAACAAGTATGTGAACTTTGCAAGTTTCCTAAATATCTGCAAACATATTATGGTATTTTTATGCTTAAAAAATTACATACAGCACCTTTAAGACTTTCTAAGGACCCATGGAAACCCTGTCAAGGGCACAATGATGAAAGTTAGGGTTCAAACCTACGACCTTTCAGCTACCAGCCAAGATCTTTGATGGCCTTCTGAAATGAGCAGGCAAAATGAATCAGCTTAATTCAGACAGCCCATAAGCCATAATATAATAACAAACGTGTGTGTTTGTTTTCCTATGTGCTCATATTAAGACTAGCAAAGAGCCTGACTGTATAGTGTGAGACGGTGTGTGCGTGTGTTATTATTTCTAACACCATATGCTCAACACTCAGTACGTGACAGAATTTTCCTTCCTTGAAACACTTCTGAGGAAACGCAGGAGGCTCAACACTTCTCTATCATTCCTCTCACTTCTAACAAGCTGCATTACACCTCAAATTGATTTCTCGACTTCTCAAACAGCGCCGAGTAAACACTTTTCTGAACCGCAGAGCAGAAGAACTAATAATTTCTGCATTTCTAATTACGGTTAAGGGACGTGAAGTTCTACATAGCAGCCGAAGCCAGGCCGCTTAGATTAGAAATGTCATTAGAAGCCGATGAAGTCATTGGCTTGAATCTGACACGTATTAGCTTTGGCGGCGTTTCAGTGATTAAGCAGGGAAAAAAACGTCAACTGTTGAGCCAAAAGACCTAAAGCACGTCTTTCACTGTGCTAATCTGTCTGTATCTGGCTTGGAAAAATGACCAACTCTCTTTCAAACATCACTCCGCAAATCTTAAGAGGAATATTTTGCTGACAGGACTTTACAATTGAGATATATTACGAGATGTGCAGCCAACATTTCGATGAGGAACAAGTCAATCATCTGTCCTCTTCAAAATGTGGTTATTATTGGCGTTTAACCCTAAAATCCTCAGGTCATGCAGCTTATTGAGGAGAACAGACTTCAAAATGTTTACTTGGCAGATGATAAATTATGTCAAAAATGTGCTAATCCAGTCAACAAACACTATCCTTGTATACAACAAACGATTATTTTGGTCATCGATTAATGTGTCGAATATATCTTTGATTAATCGAATAAAAAATTAGTTTCTGTATTTTATTGAAAAAACATGCTACTCCAGTGTTGTCCTCCAAACAATGTGTAAATTGAAGGTTATGACAAAAAAAGTGATTATATCCATGTAGACTATACTTTACATTATGTGCAACAACTGTTTAAAATGAAGCCTTACATGATCAAAAACAACATCTGGTCAGCAGTTTAAATGACTATTAAAAATTACAATTATAATATAACCCTATAATGTAAGTTTTGCACTGAGGAAAACATGTCTTAAGCACTATAAAGAACACATGCATCTGTCAACTGTATGCTTATAAGTTTGTTTTTAGCTATAAATATAAAGCATGTCTCTTGTTCAGGACAACTTGGTTCATGCACCTTTCACGCAGCAGCTCATTTTGTCCTCTGCTATTTTTTTAGATGGTCTTTGACCATAAATATGTTATTCTGTAAAGAGACTGGCAGATGTTTTTTTTATCACAGAGCACGCAGGCCTTATTAATTGCTAAGCAAATTCATTGTGTTATCAGATTAATGGAGTACGTTTTACAAGAAAATACTATTTCAATCTTTCTACTTCAAAATTTTACGTTTAATTCTATGCGTTACTTGACGTTTCTTTTGTAATTCTGAAATTTACTAGCAATTCCTGAGTGAAATTTGTTTCTGTTGTTGTACTGTTTTCTGTGCAGTAAATAAATACCTCTGTTCTGTTATATTTTATGAGAAACAATAGGGCAGTTTGTATCTTGGGAAAAGCTTTAAAAATTAAAATGAATCAAATACATATTGATGCAAGCAGCATTAAGAGGCAAGATAAAAGACTGATGCACTTCACTAAAGTGGGATGGTTATGGATGTGGGATTCAAACCAAGAACCTTTTAATAACCAACTAAGATCTTTAGCGACTGCAACACACTGCCACAATAGTGAACACTACCAAAGAGACACAATCTGAGCCTGAATACGAATGCATAGCTAAGAAAAATGCTGATGCTTTTTTTGGGTCTGATGTTCATCTTTGTCCGGCATGAACATCAGACCCAAATTTGATGAGAAACTATGAAGAAATCTGATGAGAAATTGTGTAGGAGGAGCAGCGGAAAAACAATGTGATCACTATGTGGTGCATCCAAGATGGTGACCAATATAGTGAATTATCCAGCAACAGCAATACTTTTTAAAACTGTTCAAAAGACAGTGAATTAAAAGAGGAGAAGTACTGACTGATAAATTATTGATTTTAACTGGCATCCAATGAAAAATAAATTGGTGACCTGTTACCACAACTGAAATAAATGCATGGTTGCAAGTTTAAAATTCTCATTTATTCACCTTTTTAGTTACATTAGCTGAACATTGTGTGTAATGTAAACTTACAATTGTGCATTAATTGATTTTCTTAAAGGGGAGGTCTAATGCTATTTCATGCATTCTGAGCTATTTACACTGTTAAAGAGTTGGATTCTTATGCTCATTCCCATCAACGTGCTTCATTCGTGTTACGGAAATCGTCGGCAGCGCTGCACAGGACTTGCTGGAGAAGAATGTCTCCAAAGAAGTGTGTTTTTGGATGTGAGGGAAAGATAACCTTGTTCAGCTTCCCAAAGAACCCGGTGTTATGTGAACAGTGGATGCAGTTTGTTTTTCTGGGACAGCAACGGAGTTGTGCGAGTGTGTTTGTTTGTTCTCATCATTTCGGTGACGAATGTTTTATAAACAAGGCCCAGTTCGACGCTGGATTTGCACATCGTTTGATACTGAAAGATGGAGCAGTCCCAGT